CCAGCCCCCAGGCCCCCCCACCAGCCACCTCCTCCCTCTGCAGGGTCCGCACTGTGCAAAAGCTGAGTGCTGGCAGAGTGCAGGAGCACTGACCAGCCAGAAGGGGGCCCAGCCTCATCCTGGGGGAGGAGCCGGGACGCCCCCTGCTGGGCCCCACATTAACCCTTCAACGGCCGGGGCCACAGAAAGGCTGTGTATCCTGAAAGAGTAGCTAGGGAGGTGGAGGACGCGGGCCGGGGGCCAGAGGAGCTCAAGCAGCAAACCAGCTGTTTCTCAGCCCAGAATGAGCGAATGAAAGTCCTGCCCTCTCATACAGCAGGCTACGCAACAGGTGCTCATGGATGCCGCCTGGGGACCGGAGTTTCTACACGTCCATCAGAAGTCCAGGCCTCTGGTAGACACACCCCTCCACCCACCTCCTCAGCCTCATCCCTCCTCCTCCAGGTGAGGAGCAGACACTCACCTGGTCCCCGGTCTCAGACTCGTACTCATCAAACCCACAAGCGTCGAAATAATGAGGGAACGGCTCCGACCATCCATCCTCTGTGCAGTTCCGGCTCACCACCCTCATGTCTGCAGCAGAACAGAAACCCAGCGAGCCACAGAAATGATTTAAAAGGGCTCCAAAATTCTTAATCGAAAATTACTTCTTAAGCGGAAATCCACATGCCCATCTGAGAAGCATGGCAGCTGAAGGTTCATGAGATCCTCCACTGTCCAAGGGAAAGTAGTAATTGCTTTTACCCTTACACAAGGGATGAGGAGGGTAGGACGACAAGGTGCAAGCTGATCTCTAAACAAGGGGTGAGGGGACTGAGCCAGAACGAATCCAGCCTCCTTCCGCCTAGGGAAAGGCCTGAGCCCCTGCCCTAGGACCTGGGTCGGCACTTGCCAAACTTCAGCGAGCAGAAGAATGACCTGGGATCACAAATGCAGATTCCAGGCCCAAAGATTCTGGCCCAGGAGTCACCTCAGGTGGTGGTGCAGCAGGAGTTCTCGTCATACCTGGAGCTCTAGGTGATGCCTTTACCGGGAGCTCTGGGCCTTCCAGCAGCTGCAATATCCCATGTCAAGGGGACAAGTGGCTTGCTTAATTAACAAGGACCAGACCTCCATTGACCTAGCATCAGATCTTATTAAGATACATATTTAGGTTTAGAAAAAAAGAGACTTTGCCTTCTCAGGTTTAGAGGTCTGTTTCCTGTCACTAATATACTTTAATTTTCTTTTGCTCGAGTTTAAAGGCCATTTTGCAGGACACCAGAGCGGGCAGGAGTCATTTGCTGGCTGCACAGTGGAGTCCAGTCTGGTTTTCACCCCGCCTGGGGGCCTTTTGGCCTTTAATGATTGCTCATTTCACCTTCCCCGCTCCTGATTGTCTAAAGGTGAACCACGGATGTCTAGGGGAGGGGAGAAGGCAGCAGCCATCCCCTGCCTCCAGCCCAGCCCCTAAGTGTGGCCCCAGGCTGACCTCCCTTCCCACACTGGCTTCCTGGGAGTTTACCTGGTGTGTTATGACACCTGGGGGTGGCTCTTCCTTTCAGGATTCAGGGGCCAGAAAATCGTATACAAGAGACATCTGCATAAAAGAGGCTCCAACACCCATGTTGTTGGAAGAATCCCCGCTCTGTGGCCAAGGCCACCTCTGGGGCACTCAGGAAGGGGGCAAGAGCAGAGGCCAAGAAAGGGGACCCCTACACTTTTCCAACCTCATGTCCTGCTGCTTGAGTTGGAAGATCTAAGGCCAGTTCTTTTTTTTTTTTTTTCCTGCGGTACGCGGGCCTCTCACTGCTGTGGCCTCTCCCGCTGTGGCGCACAGGCTCCAGACGCGCAGGGCCAGTGGCCATGGCTCACGGGCCCAGCCGCTCCGCAGCACGTGGGATCCTCCCAGACCGGGGCACGAACCCGTGTCCCCTGCATCGGCAGGCGGACTCTCAACCACTGCGCCACCAGGGAAGCCCAAGGCCAGTTCTTTTTAGCCAGGAGTCAGAAACGCACTTCCTGGGACTCTGGGAAGCAGCGGAGGGTGGGCTCTCCTGCCATAAAGAGAACTCTGCCCAGAGCGGGGAGACTGACCTCCATCGCTGCTCAGATTCTGATTCTTATGACCCAGGACAGAAGGGACATCTGGCAGGCCCAGGGAGAGAAGGGCTCACTTCTGTCCCACAGTTTGATGCCAAATGGTTCCTTCTTCCAGCAAATCTGTTTCAGGCTGCTACTGGCAACCTCTTTCCAAGTCCCTCTGAACGTTTCTTTCAGAAAGTCTGCACGTCCTAGGGGACCACGGCCTTGGCCAAGCCCTTCCCTTCCCTGGGTCTCCTCTCTGCTTTGCCCACATCGGGGTGGTGGGAAGAGGAAAGGGAAGTCGCTTTGAAAAATGTTTTTTTAAAAAAGTATCCTGGAGATACAAGCCATTTCCTTTCTTTTATTTTCCTTCTTTCTCTTTTTATAATACAGCGTGGGCTCAGAAAAGTATAAACCTTTTTGTTCAGAACTATTCCATGAATCTGCCACGCTACTGTTCTGATAGAAATCTCCGGAAGACGTAGCACTCTCCAGATTGTCAACACCCTGCAGTGGCTGCACGTACTGCACTAGGCTGTTGTGCCCCAGCAACTTTGCAGGAGCACAGAATCTTAGGGCAGAGGTTCTCAAAGTGGGTGCCCTCCCCAGACCAGCCCATCAGCATCACCTGGGAGACTGGCTAGAAATGCACATTCTCAGGCCCCACCCAGGCCTGCTAAATCCGACTCTGGGAGTGAGGTCCAGGAATCTGCTTTAACAAGCCCACTAGGTGACTTTTAAAGTATGAGAACCACTGTTCTACATATAGGAGTTCAACGCTATCGGAGACCACTTAAGGAGCTCTTTACTGAGATCTGTGCTTCCCTGAAATTGTATGCACAGTGTTCTGTCTGAGCACTTGCGTGCAAATTTCCATGGAGAAAACCCACAGCTTTATCAGAGAAGGAAAGCGAGCTGCCAAAGATCACACAGCCAGAGAGAGGCATAGACCGGCCTGGAAGGAGGGGTTCCCCAAGTTCACGGGTTAGCAGATGCCCTCCCTCCAGCCAGCCCATGGTAAACCCCAGCTCATCCCTTACCTGAGAGATCCAAGGAGTTACTGTCAGCAAATCCAAACTCTCCTGCAAAACAGGCGTGAGCATGAGTCGGGACACCCGGCCATCAGCTTGCCTGGGCTCTCCACTGCTAACTCTGCACTGTGGAAGGCCAAGGCTGCCCCTGGCCTGAAGGATGGGGGCTGGGGGGAGGTGGGATCTTGGTCAAGAGGCTGCATCACACAGAGCAGCCACACACACCTGTCTGACACACTGCACCTTCCAATGCCATCTCATTTGCTTTGTATTTCTATGATGCTAATGGTGGCCCATGACTCAGTTCTCCGCACTGGACCACAGGGAGTGGAAATGGGACATTGTCGGGAGGATGGGAGGGCCTCTGGAGTGGGAGAGGACTGGAAGAGGGTAACTGGGCCTTTCCTCTTATTTTGTAGGTGCTTGCTGTTTATCTATTTTATATGAAGTAGTGTGTATATGTTAATGCCAAACTCCTAATTTATCTCCGCCCCCGCCTCCGCTATCCCCTTTGGTAACCATAAGTTTGTTTTCTATGTCTGTGAGTCTATTTCTGTTTTGTAAATAAGTTAATTAACTGGGTCTTTTCAAGAAAAGGGCAAAGAATAGCAATATGGGTCCTGGGCTTGCATGTTTTCTTTGGTGCTCAACCCTCAATCTCAGCCCACAAACCACTCCCATCAAAGGGAACCCAGAACTCCAGAGACTTCCTCCTCAGACATTTTTTCTCTTTCTCTCCTGACTCTTTATTCCCACCTCCACCCGTTCTTTAGGCTGAATCTCCTGTTAGCAGTGAACCCCAATTTCCCCTCTACCTCTCAAAATTCTGTTTTCAAGGTTCAGCTGACATGCCACCTCCTCCAGGAAGCCTCCCCTGACATCAACGTTATTCTGCCCGAATGCCACCTGGTTAGGTCTCTTCTACTATGGAGCTTGCCATACATTCCAACTCCACATGTGGGCTCACTCACACAATCAGGCCTGTACGTGTACATATGCACGTGCCTATGCACACGGGTGGCCTTGTTTGCTAACCCCTCCACAGGCGAGTGGGTGTCAACTTCCCAAACAAGCTCATGAGCACCCTGAGACCAGGAGCTCCATCTTCCATCTTCCTGTGTCTCCCCCACCTCCAGATGGCCAAGGAGGGAGGGGGTGGTGGGGAGGTGGGATGAACCCAGCCCCTGATGAGCCTCTCATTCCACCCCCACCCACTCCCAGCAGTCAGAGCCAGGCTCCTGCCGGATGGACAGATGATCAGCAGTCTGTCCTCTCCAAGGTTCCTCTTACCGATGGTTTCCGTCTCCCAGACTGAAACAGAGAGAGACAGACAGACAGACGGAAAGACACAGAGAGAGAGAACAGAGGTGAGCAAGGGGGCTAAAGTCAGGTTTGCTCTCTCTGAGCCCTGCTGACGATTTCCTCCTCTTTCCCACTCCCAGACTCTGGAGAGAGGCTCTGCCGGGGGCGCCAGAGGCATGAGAAGTACAAGCTGGGGCTGGACCAGACACTGGAGACTTCTACGATTCCCTCGAGAACAGGACACAGTTAAAGAGAAATATCAGAGGCATGTGTAAGAAGAGCGATCAACGCTCCCGGCTCCCCAGTAGCCCGCAGAGCAGCAATGATTACAACGAGCGTGAGACTCAGCCCTGAGAACCAGGAAATAAAATGAAAAGACACCACCTTCAGCTTTCTAAGTATTTAAGGCAAGTCTCACTAATCCAGCTTTGTGAATGGAGATGCTAAAAAGGCCTGCCTTAATGAGCCATTAAGAAGCAAGGGTAAATAACACATTCATTGTGCAACTGCCAAAGGGAGGCATAGAGTCTGAAGGGAAGTTTATCTTAAGAAAATTTTATTTTACTGCTGATTCATTTTACCTTCCTTTTGTGCTTGAAAAGAAGTAATCCTGCCATGGTACCTGACCCAGAGTAGCTGTTCCGTCAACTTTAAATAAACGACTGAACGAAAGGAGTACGTGAGTGGAGGAAGTGATTAAGTTGGTTTCTATAGGAATGAATTAGAAACTGGGCTGAATCAGCAGGCTGCCACCTCGCCTGACGTCCCACCATTCATACTGTGCCTCTGGCTTCAGCACTTCCCATCCTGCCCTGGGTCACACCCAGTCCCCACGCTGTCAGGATGGAAAAGTTCAACTGCCACTCTCCTGCTGGGCTGGCTGGAGATTCTGGAGGTGCGAGGTGTGGCTAACAGGCCCTGCTCCGGAGCGGAAGTTGCGGGGAGGCGAGGCAGGGGTGTGATGCAGCTAGACCCTGCCTCCTCTGGTCCTGGGCAGGGAGGCAGAGACGGGGCCCTGGCACCCCGATACAATGCCACTGCCTCCCTCCGCCGCCTCTTGCAAAAGCCCCTTCCCCTCCAGGCACAGTCTAGGTTGCTGGACTTCCAGGTGTGAAAGACTTTGCCGCTGCCTCTCACACACACATTAGGGACGGCGGCAGGCAGGATTCTGTAGTGAGGTGGAGCTTGGAGACTCTCCGCTTCTGGAAGGACACTGGCTGAAGCCTTAGACAGGTGAAGGACGAAGCTGAGACCCAGGTCTCAAGGGGCCCGAGCCTGGCCGCCCACACGTGTCTCAGACTCTCTAATCTCCTCAGGAGCCCCACCCTCTGTCCTCCTCAAACCAAGGCCCCAACCCAGGGCTCAGTGGTCCACGGGTGGTTCTCGGTACATCACCGACCTGGAGCCCGGCCCCGCCATCTCTCCCCGCCCAGCCCAACTCAGCGCCCCTCAGCTTGCCACCCTGCTTCCCGTGACACCCCCAGGTTTGGGGCAGAGGGCCAGTCTGGCTCCAGGCCCTTCCCTGTGTCAATGTGGACTCATCAGCCACCTTCTTTAGGAGTCCATGAAGCCTCCACCAAAGACAGGAACAGGCCTGGAGAGACCACCAGACTCACATTCAAAGGAGAGACTCCCCAGAACCCCTTCCCCTCAGACCCCTCCCCATGGAGAGGCGGTCACCCAGGCCTCTCTGTGCTAGTGATAACGGTGATAACATCAGCTGACACCACTGACCATTAAGACATGTCCAGTCTCGCTAAGGGACTTCCATCTGCAGCTTCCACCTGGTTCCCCACAGTCACCACGCCACATTCCCATTTGACAGACTACAGACTAGGAAATGGGGGACAGAGGGGTGAATGCCCTGCTCAAGGTCCCCAGCTGGGTTAAGTGACGGAGTCCAAGTTCGAGAGCCCAGCCACGACGATGCACCTCCACGTGGACTTGCCACGTCTGAGGGGTGCTTCTGTGTCCCTGTGTGCACGAGGGTCCGTGATTTCATCTCCCCACCAGCACATGAGCTCTAGAATGGGAAATATCTGCCTGCAGGGCGCCCTGTCTCTGGTGCTTGTCTCTCAGAAAAGCCTGAGATCCGAACAAGGGGAGCAGGCTGGACCCAGAGTGGCCTGAAGAGGCCCCCGGGGGGGACCCACCTTGGTCTGGGTTGAAGATTCGGAAGAGCTCAGGGCAACTGACGAGGACCATCTCACCCACGTGGGCAGGCTTCCAGCATGTGATGTTGTCCCACATCCCAGGGCAGCCTGTGAGGAAGGGAACCATGGTGAGCGGGCAGCCAGACGCCCACATACACACACACACATCACACGCACACATCACCCTGCATGATCTCTTCCACGTCCCCAGGCTCCACGTTGCGGTGGGGTCCCACTTCAGATCGACCTCCTCGGTGGGCCCTCCCTGCCCCTGGGGGGAGGGGCAGGAACCGTCTGGCCCGAGGATGGCGCTCCATGCTCCCCCACACCCCAGTCGCCCAGCGCCTTTCAGGGCAGGCCTGCAGCAGGAAGATGACACGGAGCTGGGACCTGAAGAGGACCACAAATTGGCCAGACGGGGGTTGGGAAGGAGGGGAGAGGCCTGCAAAGCCAAGGCCCCGAACTATGAAAGGGCTCGGAGCACAAGGAGCCAGGAAGCAGGGAGCACCTGAGAGGCCACTGTGTGGCGAGGCACGCCCGGATCAGGTGAGCACCGAGGGCTGGGAAGAGCAGGGACAAACAGAGCTATTTAGGAATCGCCAAGACGCGCGACTCGCTGGACATGAGCTTGTGAGAAAGGAGGAGGAGGTTGAGCTTGACGACCAGGTTTTCAGATTTGGGGGGCTCAGTGGACCCTCCGACCCCCGTGCCTGCTCTCCTTCCAGCCCCTGCCAGCCTCTCTGTGGAGTCCTCTGTACTCCCATCACCACCACCTCCCCTCCCCTCCATGCTTCACCCCTCGTCTGACTCCACCCCTCCTCTTCACCGAGAGGCCTCTTGCCCTTACGGACCTCTCGGCCCTTACGGAGTGGACCCCACCCTGCCCACCCCGACTGCATGCAGGGGCTCGTGTCTGCTCTGCCCTCGGCCCCTTGCCCCACTGCCCTTAAACGAGACCACCAGGCCCGAGGACTTCAGGACAGAATTACACAGACAACTGCCAACCCTGACTCCTGCACAACATGGGGGCTGCCTTCCACGGCCAGGGGCCTGCTGGATATCCCCACCTTGAAAGGCCCAAGACAATCCACACACAGCGTGTGCAAGACTCAACTCAGCATCTCCTACGAACTCCGATTTCCTGTCTCAGCCCCAGCTAGAGCCCTGGAGTCACTCTTGCTTTGCCTCCTTCTCCTTCGTGCTCCACAGCCGACTGGTCACCAAGTCCTGCTGGTGTGACGTCCGAATATTTGTGGAATCCACGCCCTACTCTCCATCCTTGCACTCCCACCTAGCTAGGGGCTGACCACCTTTCACTGGGACCATGGTTACAGCCTCCCCGGTGGTCTCCTCACTCAACCGCACAGAGCTATGACTGTGAGCTCTTCCAAAGGGTGATCTGTCTGGGTCACACAGCCGCCACCCCCAATGAGCACCTTCCAGTGGTCCTATCACCTCAGCTGTAACGTGGTTCCTAAGGTCTGGCCCTTGCTTCTCACTCTGGCATGTGGGGCGTGGGTGAGGCCCTGGGATGAGAGCTCACCCAGGGAAAGGACACGATGTGAGAGGAGCATGGAACCCCACGTTTTCCAGGTGGGCAGAGATGTAATCATGACAGGGGGGCAAAGGCAGAGAAGGGAGGCAGCAGTGTGGCGTGTCTGACGGCAGAGTACAGACCTTCAGAAAAGGGACCACATCCTGCTGAGCGGTCTATAATAAGGGCTTTGGAGGGCTTCTCTGCCATGTATGGGACAGCCCACCCCACAGGACTGCTAGGAGGACTAATGAGTTCATACACGCAAAGCTCGCAGAAGAACGGCGGGCTCACTCAATGTACGCTCGCCATTGTTATTACCATTAATTTCATTATTTCAATTAGGTGTCCCTGGGGTTAACTCCCCTAAGAAAGAGAGATGAAACACAGCCCTACCAGGTGAGAAGAAAGGCCAGTGGAGGGCCACTGACAGACACAGAGGAAGCCCGGGCAGGTGCTGGGCAGGCACTGGGCGAGGATGGGGGCCCAGGGCGGGCCTCGTGAGCTCACAGCCTCTCTGTTGGGGTCCATGACTGACTTTCAGGTCCTGTTTGGACCAGAAGGTGCCCAAAGCTTCCAGGTGCAGAAAACCCTATCTCTCAGAACTCAGACCTGGCTACTTTAGAATTCACACCCAGTCATATTAGCCTATAGTATCCTGCTCCCAGAATGAATGACTTTGGGAGACAGAAGCATCACAGAAAGCTCTGAGGACAACCAACCAAGATGACGAGGATGCTGGGGCCACATGAAGGGAGATGGGTCCCAGGTCTGTTACTGATGATTCCTGTCCACCCATCACAGCAGGGCTCCAACCTGCACGTGGCTGGTTATGACAACATATCCTTGAAAGAGACCTAACAGTACACCTTTGGCCACCATGGCCCGTGTTGACCGTGGAATGGCCATGGAGCGTGGCTGTGTCTGGCCCATGCCCTGGGAGCCCCAGTCAACAGATGTTCCCTAAATGTGGAACATTAGGCCCTGGCACGGCCAGCTGCTTCTGCCAGCTGACGTTACTAAGGCCTAGGACTCGTTATAGAGCGAGCGAACACAGTCACAAGGGCCGAGGGGCGGGGAGGGACACAGGGCTCAGGTGGGGATGGCACAATGGGGAGGGGCTCCCAGGTTGGAGGTCAGAGGTGTGGAGGCAAGGCAGGGATCCATCCTCTTAACAACTATTCACTGAGCACCTACAATGTGCCAGGGCCCATCAGGCCCAGGGCTACAGAGGTCAAAAAAACAAATTTGAGAAGTTTGTATTTGAGGGCAGGGGGAGGGAAACGGCAGGGTGTCCCCTCCACACCTGCAGGGCAGCCACAGACTTGTTTTCTTTTTTTTTAAAGTTTATTTATTTATTTATTTTTGGCCGTACCGCGTGGCACATGGGGGTCAAACCCGTGCCCTCTGCATTGGAAGCGCAGAGTCCCAACTACTGGACCGCCAGGGAAGTCCCAGATCTTCTGCCAAGGGCTCACTGCATGACTCTAGTAAGTCTCCATCCCCTCTGTTCTGATTCAGTTTCCCTCTGTGCACATCAAGGGCTGCGTGTCTCTGAGGGGACTCCCAACTCTGAGTGATTAGAACTCAAATCGGGAAGAGACTGACTCAGGATATGCTAGGGCCCAGAAGCATGGCTGGGAGGCTGGGGCTGCCTTCCCTGGCCCCGCTGCCAGGACAGACATCCTCAAAGGGGCATCTGCCAAGGTCCCCTCACCCTGCCCTGTGGCCTGCCACACTATGGAAGCCCTCCTCGTTCCTGGCCTGAGTCCCCTCCATAGACGAAGGATCCTAGGGGCAATTCCTGTAGCACCAGGGCAGGTATGAAGCCTGAAACGAGAACCCATAACTCCAGGGCCCAATCCCAGTGTCTGGGTTTAGGAGACTATGATATTGTGATATAATAAGAATTGTGCATTTGGCCTTCATCTCAGATTCCTGGCACAGAGCTCCTAAAACCCTGGTAACATCCTGGGCGATGGTGTCAGTGGAGCATCTTTTGTTACTCATAAGCCCCTTTCAGCCGTATCTGAGTGTATGTTAATGAAATGACTCTTGGAGGATTGGGGCTGATCCCCAGAGGAACCAACTATGTGATTAGTGAACTGGAATTTTCAGGCCCACCTCTCAACCTTGGGGGAGGGGAGAGGGGCGGGAAATCGAATTAATCACCAATGGCCAATGATTTCATCAATCATGCCTACATAATGGAACATCCATATACCCCTAAACAATGGGATCTGGAGGGCCTCTGTGTTGGTGAACACATCCATGTGCCAGGAAGGTGGCACACTCCAAACTCCACAGAGACAGATGCTTCCCGCACTTGGGACCCTTCTGGACCTCACCCTATGTACCTCTTCATCTGGCTGGTCATTTATATCCTTTATAACATCTTTTATAGTAAACTAGTAAATGTGCTCCCCTGAGTTCTGTGAGCCATTATAGCAAATTATGGAGCCTGAGGAGGAGGCCACAGGAACTCCTGTTTTTTTTTTTTTTTTTTTTTTTTTCGCCGGCCTCTCACTGTTGTGGCCTCTCCCGTTGCGGAGCACACGCTCCGGATGCGCAGGCT